ATACTACGTACGTATGGTATAAATACTTATCAACTTTCTTCTGGAGCTAGGAAACCCAAGAAGTCTATATCCTGGCAAGTCAATAATATTACGTTTTTAAATATACCTATTTTACCTATTATAGTACTTAGATGTTTTCTCTTTTTAAGTGTCCAGGCTTATATATTTCCATTAATAGGAACTGGAATAGGTATCAATTGGTCTGGCTAAGACCAGACTACACGAAAATATACACAAATTACATGACCCAAATAAGCATTAAACAATCTCTTTATCGGCTGTATTCTCAAGATGACTTTCTCAAATTACAGAATATGATTGATGGTCTAGCGGAAGGGATGGATAAGATTCACAGATGAATACATGAAAAAAATTAAGGAATGTAAGCATTCAAATCAAATTAAGGAATAGTCGAAACTATAGGATGTATCTGAACTTAGTGCTATTTCCTCTATCAAAACCAAAGTCATTCGTTTATCCAGTATGCCTATACATGACAGTGTTAAGCTACTCTTGAAAAAGGGTCTAAACTTTGCCTATACAAATGAGCAAAATCATTCAATGGAGATTCTGTATTAATTAATTAATTTGTTAGTCAAGCTGCCAGAAGAGGCTACGAAGAGCACAAAAAGGGAAAGGATTTTTTATTTTGACCTGGTGATTAATATGAAGTAACCTTATGATTTGAATAGGCTTTCAAGATATTGGCACAAAAATTATCTGCTTGTTTTGAAAGCAGATAATGGTGGCGCAGTAGTCATCATGGATAAGTTAATATAAATGTACAAAATGATGCTTGATTAAAATTACTGATAAACATACAGTAAAGGATCCCACAGAGTCCAAGGGCAAAACTCAGAGAATCGTTTAAAGTTTGTGTAAGCAAGGAAAAATTTAGAAGTGGAAACTGAACTCACTCTTTCAAAAGGGGTGCTATGGCACCTTCGGCTTGCGGCCTCCCAAAGATACACAAGAAGGGAGTTCCTTTGAGGTTGCTTGCATATAATGGAGGAAGTGAGAGTAGTAGGGTTTCATAATTATTATGCAGACAATTAAGGAAAGATGCCGAGTTTTGGAAATATTCAGTAAAGGAATGATATGCATTCGTTAGATTGATAGATCGACAGAGTATTAGGGGAGGACGTTTTAGTGAGTTTTGATGTATATGCTAGCATCCTAATTAAGGAGGTTATTGAGGCTCAATGTAAATGCTACTTAATTCGGTTATGAGTAGCACACACTTTTGATGATAAGTCTCATGAATGGGTGCACGGCCTAGCAATGGGATCTTGTTTGGCCCACATTTTGGCGAGTAATTACATGTTAAAGATGGAGGATCACATCACGGAAGAGTTAAAATTGACACCAAAACTGTTAGTTAAATGATAATAATGACTACTTTGCCATGTGACAACATGGTAATTGACCAGATTTAATGCAATGTTAGATTGGCACTGGAGATAGAAGAGGACAATGATATACCATTTTTGGATGTTTTTCCGATGAGAAT